AAATTGACTGGCTGCTCTGGGGGAGAAAGATAAGCAGTCTTTTCCTATGTGATTTACTGAATCTGAAAACCCGCTGGAAGGTCCATTTAAGTTATTTCTCATTTGATGATACACAACAATGTAACAACAAAAACAAAATTGTTAAGAGTGGTTGTCTTTTGAGAAGAAATTAAAAAAATCAGGCCATTACAAAGTTTTCATCTGGGAGCTTGGGGTAAGATGGTGAACTACGCAGACGGCAGGCTAGATCTTCTTCAGTTAAAAACAAACCCCCAATTCAGTCCTATCAAGTCAGAACTGATACATGGCTGACCATCCAGCTGGTTTCTAGTAGCTATAAATCATTCTAGAGATTGCTCATCTTTCTCCTGAGTAGCTGATGGATTCGAACTGCCCTTCTTTGGGTTGGCAGTGCAGCTCCTTACTCACTAAGCTACCAGAGATCCCTTCAAATGAAGACGAGACACCAGAAAACAAAGATAACAGTTACAGAAGAGAATTCTGAAACCCTGAGTTTAAAAGGAAAAACATAAAGAAGTACTTCAAATATCAGGTGAAGGATGAAACTGAACAGAAGCATAGAATAAGGAGACAGATGGAGTACACAATTGTAAACTGCATGGCATGGCCATTTTGAACATCTGCAGGTAGTCATGTGGTCAGTGCAGGAACCTGGGATTACAGCACTGTCCACAGCACCAACTGGTTGACAGCAAGGACAGACAGTTAAATGGAAGTTACATAACATGAAGAGCCATGAGAACTCTTAACAGCAAGCAAGCAGGAGTCAACAGTTCATGTCAGAAGGCTTCCCAGGATTCTCTTAGGCAAAAGCCCAGGTAGGGATTGGACATGATTACCATGTTCTTCATTGTAAATTCATTAAAAATTGAGTGAATGAAACATCTCATATGAAAAATATTTTCTGAAATAATTTATTGAGCCATAAACTTTGGGTATTCTGCACAATTTAACTACCTCAAGCTTTTCAAAGGTTTTTGTTTTTCCCTGAGCAAATTATTTGTTCTTCTTCTAATTCTTCCCTAAATTGATTTTACTTGTTCTAGCTGGTAAGAGTGGAATGAAAACGGTATTTTTGTCAGTGTACTTCTTCCATCTTTTCTCATGCCTCGAGTCTATTAGGGTACCATGGAAGAAGCCCTGATCGTGCAGTGTGCTGAGTTGCATTGCTAATCTAAGTCAGCGGTTTGAATCCACCAGTTGCTCCACAGATGAGGCCATCTGATGGATATCTATCATAACCCAGTCTTTAACTCTCCACACTATCCCAGGGCTCCTTAAGGTCTTTCTAATACAATAAGTCACTTTTAAGGGAAATAATCCACATTTGCTTATCCTTCGTGTTCACTCCAACATGAAGAATCTCTTATAACACTTCTAGGACTTCCAAAAGTTATGTAGATATAAACTCTTAATACTTTAGAGAAGTTAAAACCCAACCAAATCCATTTCTAGCGTCTAGTTTTTCTAAACATTGTTTCCTATTAAGTAAACTATACCCAAAATAGAGGAAAGCATTAAAACCACAAGTAGTATAAAATCAAATGGGAAAAATGAAGAAAAAAAAATCCCACAAGTTTTCATCTGATTACAACTGTGCATGTGTCTTTCTCTCTCATTGCCGTCAAAGTGGAACTGACTCATAGCTGACCCTCCAGTAGGTTTTTCAAAAGGTGTAAACTGCACAGGAAGCAATTGATCATCTTTTTTCCCTAGGACCAACTAATGGATTCGAACCACCTGTCTTTGGATTGACAGTGCAACTCTCTATCCACTAGACCATCATATCTCCCCTAATGTTTTGTAATTTTAAAAATTCACATAGTCTTTTCTCCTTTTGGCAATGACTACCACCAGGCCAACTGGTAGCATCCTGATAGATGGTGAAGAGGTTGAGATTGTTAACAGCTTTGGTCTGCTTGGTTCCACAATAAACATTCTTGAAACCAGCAGTCAGGAAATCAAAAGATGAATTGAATTGGGAAAATCTGCTGTCCAGAGTATTGAAGAGCAACGATGTCAGTCTAAAAACTAAGGTGCACCTGATCCAGGCCATAGTTTTCACAATAACTTACTACGCATCAGAGAGCTAGACAATGACTAAAGACGATAGAAGAGTAGATGCCTTTGAATTGTGGTGCTGGAGAAGAGTAATGAATATACCATAGACTGGTAGAAGAACAAACAGGTTTGTTCCAGAGAGGGTAAAAACAGGCTGATTCTCAGAGACCAAGGATTCTGAAACTCTGTCCAACATACTTTGGGCATGTTTCAAGGAGGAACCGACCAATCCTTGGAGAGGGACATCATGCTTGGAAGGGTGGCGGGACAGCACAAGAGAGGAAAACTATGGATGAGATAGATTCACTCAGTGACTGGGGTAATGGGAGTAGGTGTGCCAGAGACAATGAGGTTGGCTCAAGACAGAGCAGGTTTCAGAGCTGTTGGACAAAGAGTCACAATGAGTTTGAGTTGCAAGCAACAGCACATAACAATAATAAAGTGGCAACAACTAAAATGAAGTTCAATCCCTTTATGACTTCTGACCAGAGCAAAAACTGTAAAAGGCATTTCAATGTACTTCATGCAGAAAGATTAGGTCATCCTCTTTCCAAGCAACTGAGATAGAAATGCAATGTCTGGTCCATACCCACATGAAATGATGATGATGTTCAGGATGTCCTTCATCTTACATATATCAGCAAATTGGCAAGGTAGTCCAGGTTTACAAGAAGAAATACGTCATCTGTATTAAACAGGTACAGCAAGATAAAAGTTAAAGAGTCCACAATTAAGGTTGTATAGTGGAGTGTATGCCGTAAGAGGGGTGTGGGGTGGGGGCGCCGGCTGGGCAGGGAGTAAAGTGCAACGATGAATAAATGGAAATCCAAAACTTCTGTAAATGTTCATTAAAATTATTAAACTATAAAAAAAAAAGTTAAATTTATCTGGCCATATACTTTAGCAAGTTGGCTATCTCTAGGCAAAAACTGGACAAACACCACAAGAAGATACTCAAACAGAAAGCCAAATCTTACCAACTAGGAAAAGAAGAGCAAATATAAGGGGGAAACAATTAAGAATCTGGAGTAAAAGAATCTTACATACAACTTCGTTTAAAATAACAAAAATATTAACAACAATAACAACAACATAGAGAGAGCTACGTTGGCCTACTGAACAGAAAGTTAAGCTACCAAGCTCAAGAGGGTGATTTTAATCTCTGGCCCTCAGGTCTGGTTTGTTTGTCAAACATTCTTCTAAGTGGTATAGCACTTGTCTGTGCATTGCTATACAGAGGTAACTCATGGTTGCTGTGATGCCAAACACTGTGACACTAATGTGTCAAATGTGATACTGGTTACCCATAGTTGACAGTGTTTGGTGGAGTTCCCCGATTAAAACAAGCTTGGAAGCAAGAGTGGCATCCTCTTCTGAAATGACTTGCCTCTGGAAACTATGCACAGTGCTCAGGCCTTTCATTCCTAGGGTCACTATGAGTTGCCCATGACTTGATGGCACTTAGTAACAATAACAATATTTTTGTTGTCATGTATATTTAAAAAGGTTCTGAAGAGTAATTTTGGGCTTATATAAAAATAATTATGATCTAGCTGTGTTTTGTTGATGCTATTGTTTCCAGGTTCTCTTTCATTTACATAATCAATTTTATTCCTCTGTCTTTCATTTGACAAAGTCCATGTATATAGTTGTTATTTATATTGATGATAGAAAGTATTTACAATTAATAGGTCAGGGTCTAGCAGAATTTTAGCATGTGATATCTGGTGTCACTTATATCATCAAGTTTTTATTTTCTAACTACTGCTTTATGTTTATATGTAACCTTTACTTTTAGTCATCAGTAATATTTAAAGTATTTTGATTGTACATTTTGTTAATTTTATCCTGCAGATGTTGATTAAAATATCCAACTTTTTCATTACTGAAAAAAAAAAACCCAACCTAAAAACACCAAAACTAGGGCTGGTGGGGTGGGCAGGGAGAAAAGTGCAACAATGAACGAATGGAAATCCTCAGTCTCTGTAAACTTTCATTAAAATTAATAATAAAAAAATAACAAAAATAGAACAAAATTATTATTTATAAGCTTTCACCCAAAAAAAGTATAATAAAAATTAAATACTGCAAAAAGTAAAACAAAATTCACATTGTGTATACACTTAAGAAAAACTATTTAAATGCTGAAGACTTCCAATGCTCTATCAATCTTTATGGGGTTAGATTTAGGAATCTTTCACTCATTACTATTCATGTGTTCTCCATTACTTCATTGAAATATGCATGAGAAAAGAAAAAAAAATTTTTAAATGCATGAGTAAAACTCTTATACTCCTAATTAGAAAAATATAGAAGGACAGAGTATCTTACAATTTTTTGGTTTTCCCTAGAATTCCTGGCTCAGAGAGAGTAATCAGTAAATATTTGTTGATAAGAGTAGAATTCTATTTTTCTACTGTGTTTCAGTGTGAAAGCATCTTTAGAAACATTTAAAATCATGGAGTAATTAAAATTTATCACTTTCATTATATGAAAAGCACCATGTCACCAAGTGCCAAGATACTTTTATAAACTTTTGTAAAACCATATATAAGGTTCATTAGACACTGCAATTAATTAACATTAAGCAATGGAAATATTATGAAACAAAATTAATTATTATATGAAAAACCAGTATTTGTTAAACTTTCACTGAAATAAATATGTAATAAGGCTAGATTGCAAATGACAAGTAATGATATTTATACTTAAGACCTTAAAACTTTAGCTTAATTCACATTTCCTATTTCATATGAATACACAGAAACACCACATAAAAGAAATTTTAATGTGTGGTTATCAGATGTGGTTGTTTTTTTTTAAAAAAAACTATTACAGAAAATATACAAGGCCCTTTCCTTATCAAGAAATGTAGTCTTTCTCTTTTCCGAGAAGATAGACCCACTGCTCTCGGTCTTCTATCGGTGCTTTCCATGCCGATTAAAGTGTTTGTAAAGATATCGGATACGTTTGTTAAGGTTGTGCAAGTCATCAGTGAACATCCGATTCCCAACCATTTTCTTCTTTCTGATACAACGCTGTAACTCGTTTCCCTTCCAACCTCGAAGCCATTTGGGGCCCTTGATCAATTCCTTGGGGTGCTTTTCAAAGTTACCTGTGTATGTGAGAAAACACATTAGTTCCCAGACAAGAGGATCCAACCCAGAGCAGCTAAGCTTTCAACTTCTTGTTGTTGCGTCCCATGCAGTCGGAACCAACCCAGAGCTGATCCCCCAGAGGAGCTGTATGTTACTAAACTGGCTTGTCAAGAAATATTACAAGGTCAAGAGAAGGTTGTGAAGCCAGATTGCTCGGGGTTCTAAATTAAGGGTTGTTGTTTCCTAAGTTTAAAAACAATTACTCGTGGGTAGGGAGAAAAGTGAGGCAATGAAGGAATGGAAATCCAAAAATCTCTGTAAATGTTTATTAAAATTAATTTTTAAAAGATTAAAAAAAAATTACTCGACCTCTCTCTTCCTGTTTTTCCATCTGTAAAGTAAAAGCGCTACTAAAGGAGTTAATATACTTTGAGCATTCAGAACAATGTTGAAGACAAATTCTCACATAAGTGTCTAATCTTATTATTGAGAACAGCACTGTTACCTAGGTAGATACAGTAAGAAGGAAGCCCTTACGGCGCAAGTGACATTTAAAATACCATACTACGTTGCAAGTGCCCTCAATTCGAGTAAATGTGACATATTTAAGCTGACTCAGTCACCGTGTCAATCCATCTCCTTGAAGTTCTTCCTCTTGCTTGACCCTCCACCTTTCCAAATGTGATCTTCTTTTCCATAGAATAGCCTCTCCTAGCAAAGTCTGTGAGACAAAGCTTCACCATACCATCCCTGCCTCTAAGGAGCACTTGTCTTACCCAGGATCCCGATGTTGTCATACACCCCGAACAGGGCTCTCTTCTCGTTCCAACGATCAACTACTTTTGGGGGTGGGAGGGTGACCCTTACACGGTACAATCCAGAAACGCCTAGGAGTGAGGAGGCAAAGAACGAGTCAGAGACACCTACTAAAATCAGTTCTCCGGACGTCTTTCTACATTGGTTACTTACTCAAAGAGAAGCTTCTACACGCCAAGGGCACACAGCCCCACAAACCCTTGCTTACTCCCGAAAAGAAGCTTCTTGCCATTGCTCTCGTCTATCCTACAACAGTAAGCTGCACAAATCTAAAGGTGAGGACCAGACTTGTTCTACAGAGAAAGAATGACGAGAACTGTGAGATCTGGCCTCACAGGAGACATCTGGGGGACGCCATCTTGCGTCTCTTCCAGGGGGCTCCGGGCGCAGGGTCGTCCCGCCCTCCAGCTTCCGGCGCACAGATACCTCAACCCCGGCCTTTTGAGGGCACTTCCGGTCTGCTAGCCGGCGTTTCCGCGCTCAGGAATAGGTGAGGGTATCGCCCCTTCAACGTGCAAGGTTTTCTTCTAACTGAAGTCCCACGAAAGTTCACCCCTTCCTGATACCTTGGGCATTCCTCAGCTGTGAAGAACGGAACCTAGAATTTCAGAGTGTTCGGAGGCGAAAATTTTCTTTAAGCATCACAACACTCTTGGCGCCTCACAGAGGAAAAAAATTGTGAGAGTCAGAGTGAAGTGACTTGTTGGACAAAGAACAAGAGATGGTGGAAGCTCAACTTTAGAGTTCCAGCCTGGACTTGTAGGGAGGGTTACTGATTAGGGGACTATCCCAGTGATGCAGTACCTTCAGAAGCACTGGCAGACACAGCCAAAACCTCCCCACTATCTCTAGGAAAGGGAACATCGCGGAAGCCGGAGCTAGTGGGAGGGGTTGTGGGGAGGGCTGCAAACCAGAATACAGGTCCCGCCCAGCCAGCCCCTTAGCGGTTTTCTGTCTTCTCTCCGGTGATTGGCCAGTCTCTGCGGTGAGCGTCACGATTGGCTCCTTCTCAGTTGTTGAGATTTGAACTCAAGTTAGAGCTGCGCCCGCGTGGCGCCTAGTTCGGAGGCGGGCTTTTGCTTCAGCGTGGCCGGGATTGGCTAGTTTCTCGGCCCGCTTGAAAAGCCTCTCGCTAATTGGTGTGTACTACGCCCTTGTTTTCTGCATTCTTTTATGACGGTCAACTTCAGTCAGTGGAGCAGCCGGTGAGGGCATCTACAAAGGTGTGGTATTGATGGGGAACCGGGAATGTATGGGCTATATGACTCGGTATTAGGAGTAGTAGAAGAGACAGGGTGTTCTGCTGGGAATATTTTGGGGTGCGATGTCGTAGATCCGCAACGGAATCGTGCGTTTTGGGAAATTCACTTAACCTCCATTTAGGGAGCTGTGGTGGCTTAGTGGAAAGGAATTGTGCTGCCAACGAAAAGGTACGCAGTTTCAATCCACCACCGACTCGATGGTTCACAACTATCATCTCCTTTCATTTATTGTAAATTGGGTTTACATATGCATTCCTTGGGCTTGGGACTGGGATGATTCAAGTAGATATGAAGCATCCAACTAGCAGAACAGATCCTAGTACAGTGTTAACAAGTAATGACTAAAAAAAGAAAAAAACAAGTAATGACTTGTCTTTCCCATTCCGAAAGCAGGAAACACTGCCTCATGTTGAGCTACTGCTCTGGCTTTAGGTGAAAAAAACTGTACATGAGGAACTTGCCCATGAAAATGGAAACAATAATTATAATTCTCACATTGACATTTCTCTTTACCCAGTGCCTCCGTGGTTAAAGCCATAGGCAGTTGGCACTCCTCAGTAAAAAAGATGTGTAGTCAGCTTCCATGAAGATATATAGCCTTGGAAACTAATGGATCAGTTTTACTCTGCCGTAGGGGGTTGGCATAGTCAGAATCAGCTCATCAACATTGGGTTTGATTTGGATTATCCCACTTAACATCCCTTGACTCATTTGATGCACAGAGCAACATTGTCAAGTGATCAGAGATAATAATCTCATTTCGCAGATGTAGCCTACAGTGCTAAGTGACATAACCAGGTGGCAGAGTCACAACAAGAATTAGATTCTTTTCTATGGTTGATTTTGCCCTTCACATCCTTTAAGAAACTGTTAACAGCTTGTGACACAACTAAAAAAGCGTTACATATTGGAGGTGGGGAAAATAACGTTGTTGCATCATTGTTAGGAGTCATTGAGTCAAATACAACTCATATAAACAACAGACTTGAATCCTGCTCTGTCCTGTGCCATACTCATCATCTCTGCTATGCTTGAACCCCGTGCTGCATTCACAATGTCTGTCCATCTTGTTTGGGGGAAATAATAGAACCAGATTAAAATATAGGGCTTAGCTATAGACTCTAACATTTCTACTGTTTGGCTTCCAGTTCTGTGAGCCAGTGAGAGAAAGATGTCTCCCCGGTTGTATGAGTTTCATCTGCCCTTATCTCCAGAGGAGTTGTTGAAAAGTGGAGGGGTGAATCAGTATGTTGTGCAAGAAGTGCTGCCCATCAGACAGCTTCCATCACAGCTTAAAGGTAAGGCTATATAGCTGACACTGTCTCTTCTTCTCTCTCATTGCTATCAAGTTGGAACCAGCTGTTAGCTGATCCTCCATTGTGTTTCTGAAACTTAATCGCACAGAAGGAAATTGCCTCTCTTTCTCCTATGGAGCAACTCAGTGGGTCAGAACCACCAGAAACATTGGCAACGTTGTGCTTAGTACTTCAGAACAACCATTTCACATAAGAGTTAATGTTTTAAATAAAAAAAAAAAATTAATGTTGTCGGTCTGTGTTACTACATCATTAAAGTCAGTGAAGGCTAGGAAGTATTTTTCTTACTCTTTCCAATAATGCTGCTGTTAGTTCCCTGAAGGAAAAGATTAGGCCCTCTATGAGGTGGATTGATTCAGTGACTGACTGGGACAATCGGGATAGGAGTGAGTGTCAGAAACGGTGCGATTGGCACAGGACAGAACAGAGTTTAGGGCTGTTATACATAGGGTCGCTATGAGTTGCAAGTGACTATGAGTTGCAAGTGACTCGACAGCACATAACAACAACATATACCAAAATAAAGCCCTTACGGATTTAATAGTTACAAGAAAGATAGCTTGTATAGAATGTCTGGCACTTAACCTATTTCGAGTTAACACTTTTTGAAATCATAATATATTGTTTCCAGAAGTATTAAAAAAATGGAAATTTATATATATGTGTGTGTGTGTGTATACAGTTGCAAATCAGTTATCCACTGAAACCTAAAAATGGCTAAGAACAATTCATGTATTACCAGCCAGACTCATGTTACTGTACTTGTTGGAAATGATCTTAGATCAGGTTGCTCTGGAAAGATAGGTGGATGAAAGATTAGACCCCAGCCAGACTGTCTCAGTGCTAGTTCGCTCTAACCACTTTGGCCTTGGACAAACTTATTTATTTTCTCTTTTCTGTAAAGCCAGGGATTAAAGTCTGCTTCATATATCATCCCTAATAAGGAGAAAGGTTGGTCATATAGTAGCTGAATAATATGACAACAACTTGTTGCCTTTTAAAATCCCTGGATGGTGTAAATGGTTAATACCCTTTGCTGCTAATGAAAAGTTTATCAGCCTCTGAAGAAAGCTCTAGCAATTCTCTGCTAAAAAATCAGCCATGGAAACTGTGTGGAGCACATACTCTTAGCCATAAGTTAAGAGTCCCCTTGATGGCACCATTATTGGCACTGTCCTCTCTTGACCTTCCTGTCTTGGTTACCAGAAGGCAATTCTTGGCTTTGGTGTCTTCATGTCCAGCAATATTAGGAAAAGGTATTCCTGATCTGGAATTTGTTTTGGAGGAGTTTTTTCCTTTATTTTTTTGTTGGAAAAAAAATACAGATTCTCCGCTACTGACTTAGCCAGAATGTAATCACATACTGATTTCTCTAATAAATTAATATTGTTGTTGTTGCATTCTATAGCAAATTGTTCTTATTAAAAATGTCTCATTGAAAAGGAGATTCATTTTTTTAAAAAGTTTTAAAAATAATTACATTGCTGTGATGTTTAACAAAAGGACATAATTCTTTGTCTCAAGGTACTTACAAATAAATGAGTAAGTATAGAATAAATATGATTTTAAGTTCCAAGGAGAAAAAATAATGTAAAAGAGAAAGGATGTGCTGCAGCTGGAGGAAGGTATCATTTTAAGTTGAATGATGTGAGAAGGTTTGCGGATAGATGATGTTTGAACAGAGACCTTAAGGATTGATTTATGTAGGTTCTTTAAAAAAAAACCCCACCTCTAACTCAGCTGGTCAGATTGGTTCCCATAGTGACCTCCATCAGGTTTCCGAGATGTTAATCATAACAACAGTACACTACCCATCTTTCTCCCACGGAGCCTCTGGTCAATTCAAACCACTGGAGATGCTTGGCATTTGGGCATGTAGTGCGAAGGCTTTGAGGTGGGAAAGTGCCAAATGGTTGGAGTGGAATACAGGAGGAAAGACATCATGTGTGATCATTTTAGCTTCTTGAATTTCAAACTATGGTTCTCAAACCAGCTGCATTTATGTAAAATATAAGGCCCAACCCAGAGCTACTTAAACAGAAAATCACTATTTTAAAAAACTCCTTTGTTGTTAGGTGCCATTGAGTACTCTATGATAAAAAGCTCTGAACCTGGTCTATCCTGTGCCATCCTCATCATCTCTGACATACTTAAGCCCTTTGCCATCATGTTAGTCCTTCCTGTTAAGGGTCTTCCTCTCTTCTGCTGATAAGGACATGAAAAGACACTTTACTAAAGCCAGACACATGAAGAAATGCTCAAGATCTTTATCGGTGAGATGCAAATCAACATCTCTAAATCAGCAGTGAGTTATCATCTTACCCCAGCAACAGAAGCAAAGTCCAATAAGAGAGCAAAGGCGTGAAGAGATTTGAACTCTCATACCCTGCTGTTGAGAATGAAAAATGATGCAACTACAGTGGAAAGCAATTTGGTACTTCCTTGTAAAGTTGAGATTTTATTTACCTCAATGTTAAGAAGATAGAAATTCTCAAGGAGCTCTGGTAGTCTAGTGGCAAGAAGCTGCACTGCAATCCCAAAGGGTCAAATCCACTGAAGAAGGAGGGGCAGTCTCCTTCTGTGCCTTTCAGATCTGATTCAATGGTACACAACAAGAAATTAAAATAAAGAAAAAGAAAACAAATTCTCACAACTGAACTAAAAGACAATATCGTGGTAGATAGGGAAAATAAAGGTATTGTCAATTATTTCACTTCACCTGGATCACCACCCATGGAAGAAGCAGCCAGGAAATCAAAAGATGTTTTGGGCCAGTCTCCTATCAGAGAACTCTTTTAAAGTGCTAAAGAGTGAGAATGTCACTTTAAAGGTTATGGGACACCTGACCCAAGCCAGCATCTTTTCAGTTAATTCATATACGTGTGAATCAGGGAGCGCTGGTGGCTTAGTGGAAAGGAGTTGCACAGACAACCCAATGGCGTGTGTGAATCCATCACATGCTCCATGGGAGAAAGATAGCACTGTGTAATTTTTTTGCCTCTGAAAACCTGCTGGAGTGTCAGCTATGAGTCAGTTCCCACTTGAAGGTATATATCAACAGCAAGAATACTGAAGAAGCATCAGTGCCTTTGAATTATATTGGCAGACTATTGGATATACCATGGACTGCCAAAAGACAAAATCTGTCTTTGAGAAAGTGCTTCCAAGCATGCTTCTTAAAGACAAGAATGGCGACATTTTGTCTCATACTTTGGCATGCTGTCAGAAGGCTCCAGTCCTTGGAAAAAGGCATGCTTGGAAGAACAGAGAGGGTCAGTGAAAAGAAGACCCTGAACAAGATAGATTGACACAGCAACAGGAACAGTGGGCTTGAGCTTTGCAGACATTGTGGGGTTAGGGCAAAGTTTTGATCTGTTGTTCATAGTGTCAGTATGGGGCATAGTCAACTTGATGGCCCCTGACAACAACATAGGAACCAGGAGGCTGTTGAGAATGGTTGATTCCAGAGCTCGATCAAAGAAAGTACAAGGTGACCCTATAACATCATATGGTGCCAGAAAGTAAGGAGGAACTTAAAAAGTAAAAGCATATCAAAAGGATACAGGTCAAATTGGAGAAGTTCCCATATTCAAATGTGGAACAAGTTGAGTAACAAAATGAATAATAATAATAGATTTGTTTTTACATACTGTTGAGGTAGAACTGAATCATATCTGACCCTCTAGTAGGTTTTTCAAAAGCTGTGAATTGGACAGGAGGAGATTGCCCATTTTCTCCCACAGAGCATCTCACAGATTTGAACTGCATGCCTTTGGGTTAGCAATGGAACATGTTACTACTAGGCCACCAGAGCTCCAGTAATAGATTAAGCATCTAAGTAAAAGAACTATCGATTAAAATAAATTAATAGGAGAAAAGTGATAGTTCATCCTAATAGTAGCCTTCCCTGGAGTAGTTGTGGAAAGAATGATAGAACACCCATTTTGTAAACCCCACAGTAGGAATTATGGAAGAAAAGAATCATCGATGTATACTAAAATTGGTAGGCAAAAAATGCTGGCAGTGGGTTTTCTGCATAGTTACAAAGTGTCTCCCCACAAAATACTTGTTAATTGTAAGGGAAAGAACAGTAACTTTACAGCAAGAAACCTAGCAAAACACTACCTTAACCAAATGATCACAGTTAGTATCCCATGTAATCATTCACTGATACACTTAGAATGATCCAGCTCTGGCTTTGTGCTGATTTTTCCAAGATACATATCCTCAATCTAATTGTGAGAAACTACTAGACAAACCCAAATTGAGGAGTATTCTACAAAATAACTAGCAAATATTCTTCAAAAGTATCAAGATCGTGAAAGACAAAGACTAAGGGAATGGGCCTAGATTGGAAGACTAAGGAGACATAACAACTAAATGTTCTGGGGGTGGGATATGGGACCAGATATGGGACATTTGGCTAAATTCAAATAATCTGTATACATTGGTGGCAGTGGTTGTTAACTTTCCTTGAGTCAGCCTGCCATTTATAGCCACGTGTACAACAGAAGAAAGCATGGCCCAGTCCTGGGCCATCCCCGTAACTGGTTTCACATTATGATCTCTGGGTTTTCAGAAGTGTATCACCAGACCTTAGTTCATCTTATGCTGGAGCTTCCACTAAAGCCTGTTTGTTACACATAATAGCAACACATGAGCCTCTATTGACTTTTGAGTGGTAGTTTTGTATACTATGCATTGACTGGGAGTGGAACCAGGGTCTCTGACATGGAAGGTGATAATTCTGCCACTGAATTTGTAAATACTTAATTTAAAGCTAATTTTTTTACAGAATAGATTCTTACACTATGGTTATATGTAACTTATTAGCATCCAGGTGAAAAGTATCAAAACGCAGTACTCTATCTGTACTTTTTTTGTAATTATAAACTACTCTAAGTCACATACATGTAACCCTCTGAGACTTCATTTCTTTCCCCATGAAATAGACATAATAATGTCTGCTTTAACTAACTCAAAGATGATGATAAAACTTCAAGTGAGACTTCTAAAATACAGCATAAATATGTGGTATCATTGTTTTTGTATTGAGTGACAGTGAAATGAACTGGCTGTTTCTTATGTGATTCTAATTATAAAAGCAGTTAACCTGGTTTTCTGTCATGAATAGCTTTTACCAAAAAGGCATCTTCTCTCCATATTGATCAGTTTGTTTTGACAGCATTTCAGGCTGCCTTCAGAACCCAGGGGCCTCTGACTATCCTGGAGCACTTTGACACTGTCTACAGCATTTTACAGTAAGTGGAATGTCCAGCTGACACTTTGAAAAAGCTCTTGGTGGTTCTAATCTTGCATGTTATTGCTGGAATCCTAAATTATGGATAAGTGTAGAATTCTTGGCATTAATATCTCTACAGATGACTGTTTATCCTGCCTTGCCATCCTGTTTATTCTGATGATCAATTTCACATGTGTTTTTAAGTATTCCATTCATCTAGTTAAGTCTGCTAAAATGGTTTCTGAAGGTTCTTATCTCCCTCCTGTTTTTTTGGGTTTTTTTCCCCCCTCATAGTCATTTCCGAAGTATAGATCCAGGCCTCAAGGAAGATACTCTGGAATTCCTAATAAAAGGTATTTATGGACCAGAGGGGTAGGAAATAGAAAGTGGGATATATTTATTATTTCCTGTGTTTTATTAGCCATATGATGATATCAAGGCTGTTGTGATTCAGTAGGTTTGACTAAGCCCTGGGACCTTTGGCCTTCTATTAAGGTCTGTAATCTTGGTGGACGATACAGAGTTGTGTGCGTTTGCTGTAAGGGCAGACCGACAAGAAGTTTATCCTACTTTTGAACTACCTTTTTAATAGAGGTGATTCTTTCTGTTGCCAGAGAGAAACTTTGGTAACTAGAATGAGAGAGTAGGGACATGGCATGCTCAGGGAGTCAGGGTCAAGGGTCCCAAGGACTTAGCTTCTATTGTGACCGCTGAGAAATGAAACACATATCTTTGGTAATCTGATGGCTTCAGGTGCTGGATGTTTTAAGCTTGGGGGTTTGGGGAAAAGTGAATGGAACTGATTCTCAGATTCTGGCCTCTGCAGTGGTATCTCGCCATTCCCAGGAACTTCCAGCTGTCCTGGACAACACAACTTTGAATGTGTCAGATAGAAGTGCCCACTTAAATGCCCTCAAAATGAACTGCTATGCTCTGATCCGTCTCTTGGAATCCTTCGAGACTATGACCAGCCAGATGAGCCTGGACCTTGATGTTGGTGGAAAGGTATTTTGACATTACTAACTTGTTTGATTAGGGGTCCAGTAGGGTGAAAGAATTAATGGCAAAAAAGAAAATCCAAGGATCAGAATCCTTTGTGCTCATTTTGGACTTAAGAGAAAATACTCCAAAGCATCATATCACTTGCTTCCCCGACAAGCAGCTCTTCTGTATTTTGGAACTTGTGGTTCTTCTGTCTTACCCTCTACCTTGTCTTGATTCTGGATTGTTTGTGTCCTCAGACTAGTAGTTCTTGACCCTTTCTCTTTCCTTATCTTTTCCTAAATATACGCGTGATCCTTTCCAGAATAAGAAAGGGCGGGCCAAGGCGGCCCATGGCTTCAACTGGGAGGAAGAGAGGCAACCAGTTCTTCAGCTTTTAACACAACTACTCCAGTTGGACATCCGTCACCTGTGGAGCCACTCAATAATTGAAGAGGAATTTGTCAGGTGGGTAACTGATATGACTAAAGATAAAACTGCATTATGAAGAATGAGGGCTCTGCTCGAAGGCAGGCCCTTTAAATGCTTCATTTCCAACCTCAGCTCTATCTGTAATACATTAATAAATAACCATAATGTGGAGTTTTTAGCAAGTAGATAACAGAATTTAGAAAGCGCTGTGGATTTATCATCTCTAATGCCCACCTAGCCATTTATAACACATTATTTATTAAGAATCTCATTGAGGCATGACAAGCATCCTTATAGGCTCTAGAAACAATAGCTTGCACCCTCCTGGAGTTTATACTTTAGAGGACAAGGCAGTTTTTAAATAAGTAATATACAGAATATAGGGTACTAGGGATATTGTAGTTAATGTTAGATGGATCTTGGCTAAAAGCAGGGAACACCGGAAGAATGTCTATCTGTGTTTCATTGATTATTCAAAGGTGTTTGATTGTGTGGGTCACAGAATGGGAATCCTGGAACACTTGATTGTGCTAATGCAAAGCCTATACTTGGACCTGGAGGCAGTCATCAGAACAGAGCAAGGAAACACTGCATGGCTCAAAATTGGGAAGGGTGTACACCAGGGATGTGTCCTATCTCCATACATTTTCAACCTATATGCCGAACAGATTATCCAGGAGTCTGGGCTGTATGAAGAGAAGTGTGGCATCAGGATTGGAGGAAAACTCATCAACAGTCTGCATTATGCAGATGACACAATCTTGCTTGCTAAAACTGAGGAAGATCTGAAGTGCTTGCTGTAGAAGGTCAAGGACTACAGCCTTCAATATGGATTGAAGCTCAATTTCAAGGAAAAAAAGATTCTCACCATTGGGCCAAATGGCAGCATCATGATAGGTGGTGAAGAGATTGAGATTGTTCACAGCTTTAGTTTGTTTGGCTCCACAATCAACACTCTTGGCACCAGCAGCCAGGAAATTAAAAGACGTATTGCAATAAGAAAGTCTACTCTTAGAGACCTCTCCAAAGTACTGAAGAACAACGTCAGTCTGGAGAGTAAGGTGCGCCTGATACAGGCCATGGTCTTTACAATCACTTGCTATGCATCAGAAAGCTGGACAATGACTAGGGATGATAGAAGGAGAATTGATGCCTTTGAGCTGTGGTGTTGGAGAAGAGTATTGAATATACCATGGACTGCTAAGAGAACGAATAGCTTCATCCTGGAGAGGGTTAATCCAGGCTGCTCCTTGGAGGCAAGGATTTTGAAGCTTCTTCTGACATACTTTGGGCATGTTGCAAGGAGGGATCAGTCTTTGGAGAGGTTTGGTCATACTTGGGAGCGTGGAGGGACAGCACAGGAGAGGAAGATCCTCAATGAGGTGGATTAATTCAGTGACTGGGGTTATGGGGGTGGGTATGTCAGAGACAATACTATTGGCACAGGATAGAGCAGGGTTTACGGCTGTGTACATAGGATCACTATAAGTTGCAGACAGCTCAGTGGCACATCACAACAACAACATAGAAAAATAAAGCAAAGGGGTGAGAAAATGAAAAGGCAGATTTTCTAGAAACAGCTCTTTGAGATGATGACATTTGAGCAAAGAGTGAAAAGAAATGAATGACAGCTACAAGGCTATCTGGAGGAAAAACATCCAGGAAAATAATAAGTGCAAAGGCTCTGATGAGGAAGAGTTTACAAGTTTGAGCAGTGAGGCCAGAGAGAGCAAGAGGGATAGGCTGTGAGCTCTGGAAAACAGTGTGTGGCCAAATTGCAGTACCTGGTAGGCCTTCCTGATAACTGTGACATTTTCTTAGAGATGAAGACTGGAGGGTTCAAGCAGAGCAGTAAGATTGTGTGACATGCCATTTAACAAACTCACCTTGGTTGATGCGTTGACTAGACTGGCAGAGCAACCGTTTGGAGGGCGTTAAAATAAGCCAAGCAAAAGATGATAACTTACTTCAAAAAGTGATAATGGAGATAGGGAGATGTGATTGAATTTCATCTCCATTTTCCTAGAGCTCACAGGCTTAGCTGGCAGGCTAAGTATAAAGGTGGGAGGGAAAGTGGAGATAAACATGACCTTCTTGGAGTTTTGACCTGAGTGGTAAAATGGAATTGCCAGTAACTCCAATGTAGGGGAAGTTCAAAAATTCTGTTTTGGACAAAGTTTGGAATGATAGTCATCTAAGGAAAGGTATTAAGTTTGTCTGTTGAAAGTATAAATCTAAAGGTTAGGAGAAAGCTGTGTCAGAGATAGAATTTGGGAATATAATAGTGTTTATATAAATGGCATATATCATGGTTTTTATAATGGTATTTATAAAAAATGGTATTTAGGGGGAGCTCTGGTGGCCTAGTGGCAAGGAACTGCAACTACAATCCCAGAGGTGCATGGTTCGAATCCACCAGATGCTCTGCCGGGGAAGGAGGGACAATCTCCTCCTGTACCAGTCAAATCTGATTTGACGGTACACGCACGCACGCGCACACACACACACACACACAAAATAAATAAATAAATAATGGTATTTAAAACCATGAAAGAGAATGAGATCACTAAATCAGTAAGTGTAGCTAGAGCAGAGCAAAAAATCCAAGGGTACCCTATGTGTGCCAGCTTTAAGAGGATGAGGAAGAAACATAAAAAAAACCCCACAAACCAAAAAAAACCCCAAACTAAACAGTCTGCCATCCTGAGAGAAACCATTAAGCACATATTTCAAGGAGAAAGGAGTGATCAACTGGGTAAAATGCAGCTGAAAGTTAAAGTTAGATAGGGCTAAATAGGCCATTATATTTAACTATAAGAAGACTTTGTCCTATTGTTTATTGTATGTTTAGGTACTGTATGACCATCATAACTGGTTAGAGGTTGGTAATTCTAGAAAGAGTAGCTATGTGAGGTCACGAGAACAAAACAACTTGGTACAGAAAGTGAATGAGAAAGATGAGAAGCCCCTGACGGTCAGGGCAGTAGGGATCAGATGACTGAGGCAGGACTCTGACAAGACTGAGTCTAAATGTCCGATTCCATCACTCTGCTCTCCTCCTTTAGTCTGGTTACTGGCTGCTGCTACCGCCTCCTGGAGAACCCTACCATTAGTCACCAAAAGAACCGCCCCACCCGAGAAGCCATAACACATCTGCTTGGCGTGGCCTTGACCCGTTATAACCACATGCTCAGTAAGTTATGCCTCTGCTTTGCCCCACCTTTCTTAAGTTGCCCATCATTTCTCATGGTTAGTACCTCCACAGGTGCCACTGTGAAGATTATCCAGATGCTGCAGCACTTTGAACACCTGGCCCCTGTGCTAGTGACAGCTGTGAGTCGGTGGGCAACCGAATACGGAATGAAGAGCATTGTGGGAGAGATTGTGAGGTGATTATTCTCGCAAAGTTTCTAATTCCTCTCCCTTCAGGAAGATGATAAAGATAGAAATACATTCTCTGTGTTATACTAGATCTCTTTAGAATTAGACAGCAGTCTACACGAGTCTTGCCTTCCCTCACAGGGAACTGAGTAGCTGAGTGACCTTGCAGTGGCTGTGTTCTCATCCTCAAACAGGGAGATTGGGCAGAAATGTCCCCAGGAGCTGAGTCGGGACACTTCAGGGGCAAAAGGCTTTGCAGCCTTCCTGACAGAACTAGCAGAACGTGTCCCAGCTATCCTGATGTCCAACATGTGCATCCTACTAGATCACCTGGATGGAGAGGTAAGTGATCCCCCGGAAACTTTCGAAGATTTTCGAAAGATTTAAGTCTATTGTTGAAAGGCTTTCTTAAGAAAACAAGAAGATAGTTTTCCCATGAAGTCAAGGTGTCTCAGTTTATCAATGTGGCAATTCTTTCCTGTAGAGAAGCAGATCAAGTTTATCATGTAAGGAGCTGTTGATTACTCCTATTTCATTGTCACATTGGTTTTAATCAGGTCTGGTAGACAGCATGGCAGTTCCATTTTCTGTTTTAAGTCTAGTGAGACCAGCATCTTTGATTCTGAATTCTGTCTGCTCCTCAGGAAGAAACCCTTGCTACCATCTTGCTCACCTTGCCTTCTCCATGAAATGAGCTTTCTTAAATCATCTCATATCATCACTCAAGTCTCTTATTATTCCTGAATACTAACCCAGCTACTTCCCAGACAAACATTCCTAGGTGAATATCACAGACAAAAATGGTTTGCTTTTCTTGGTTTCAAGACTCTTTTCTGACTCAGCCTAGCAAACCCCCATTCCCAATTTGCCACTATATTCTGTACTAGACTTGCTTCGACCCTTAGGGGTGAATTCTGCTTTCCTAAGTTTCCTTTTCTATTAATAAGATGTGGCAACAGTTGGTGGAAAAGTTAAAACATTTTTGGTGTTTTTTTTTAAAAAAATATGTGGGAAATTGAGTGGAAGAGAAAATGGATGTTTATTATTTAAGGGACAAAGGCTTTGAGACCTCAGGTGAAATACCATAAATTTAAGTATTTAGATAGCTATTTTTCATATTCCGCTGCCACCATGGTTACCTGGATGAGCTTTATGGGGAAGAATTCTTTATAGCTTTTGTTTTTTTCTGTTCCCACATTCTTTTCTGAGCAAACAAAGCCACTCTGGGATTCTGCTATTTCCTTTGTCCCCAGGGGTAAATACTTAGACAGTTCACCATAAAAGTCATAGCTTAGCACAAGCTTAATTTGATGAAAGACCTTGTCCCACCTTTATGCCTGGGAAAGCATGAGAGTTCAAAAAAAAGAGAATTCGTATTGGTGTGCAATGCCTGGTGCCACCCTTACCTTTTCCCCCTTAGAATTACATGATGCGCAACGCTCTGCTCACAGCCATGGCAGAGATGATAATACAGGTCCTAAATAGAGATCAACTAGAAGAAACAGCCCGAGACACCAGAGACCAGTTCTTAGACACATTGCAGGCTCATGGCCATGATGTCAACTCTTTTGTTCGAAGTCGTGTTTTGCAGCTCTTCACCCGAATCGTCCAGCAGAAGGTGAGCAACCTCCTACAGCAGAAAGACAGGTGATTCCTCTGTAAGCCAAAGAAACAAACATCTAGTATTTGAATCGAATGCTATAATGCATTTTTTGAGTTACAGAGAGTACTCTTTAACTGTTTTATATCTCCTTGAAATGTTTCTCTAGCATAAGTAGGTAGCTTTATTAAGGTTATAATTCTGATCACCTTGAGCAGGATGGCTGAGGTAGGGTGTAAAACTGATCTTTCTCTTTCTGTTCCATGTAGGCTCTTCCACTGACCCGTTTCCAGACAGTGGTGGCCTTAGCAGTGGAGCGTCTGTCGGATAAGTCGGTGCTAGTGTGTAAAAATGCAATCCAGCTGTTGGCCACTTTTCTAGCCAATAATCCCTTTTCTTGCAAGGTAAATATAGTTGGTCCACCCAAAGAGAGAAGGAAAGAAGTGGAAGCAGGTGAAATTATGTGACTTAGTGACTCTGGTATTTATTTTATGTTGCCAGCTTAGTGATGCTGACCTTGCCGGACCCCTGCAGAAGGAGACTCAGAAATTAAAAGAGATGAAGGCACAGAGGCAATCTGCAGTTGCTTGTGAGTAATTTCTGCCTAGGAGTCCTTACCCCTATAATCAATAATTGCAGAGCAAGAGACTCTAAATGGAACTCTTCCCACTCAGCTGCAGCACTGGACCCAGAGGAGGAGTGGGAGGCCATGCTGCCAGAGTTGACATCCACCCTGCAGCAGCTTCTAAAGTTTCCACAGGAAAAAGAGGAGATTCCTGAGGAAATTGCTATGGCAGAGACCGCTGAAGAGGTGAAAAGACGGATCCATCAGCTACTTGCTAAAGCTAGTTACAAGTATGTGAGTGGGGAGAAAAAAGGAGATTATTCCTAATGGCAAAAAGTCTTTAACAGATGCTAGGATAGTTATTAGTATCTAGGGTTGTTGTTTTTTTCCTCTTACAGCCAAACCTTTTATCTCTGTTTTCTTTTCTAGTCTAAGTTTTTTATGGTTCTTTTTTTTTAAAATTTATTTATTAATTTTAATGAAAGTTTACAGAGACTTAGGGTTTCCAATCATTCATTGTTGCATTTTTCTCCCTGCCCACTCCCTTCCCCCCAAATCACTCTCTCCTTGAAAAGAAAAAGAAAAATTCTTTCATTGTTATGCAGTCCCTCCCTCCAAGTCCACTCCACTGTGCAGCCTTCACTCTGGACTTCTGTAATGACAAGAATACCCATTCATATAGCCTTTTTAAACAGATCTCTCTCTCTCATCTGTTTCAATACAATATACATCATTCCTCCCTCCTTTTCTGTCTTTCCTCAACCCTGATGTCAGTCCCATTTTACAACAGTGGCCCTATGCACTATTTGTCCTTTTGTGACTGAGATATTTCACTCAGCAAAACATCCTACAGGGTCATCCACTTTGCATAATATTTCATAAGTTCCTTGTTTTTCAATGCTGCATAATATTCCATTGTGTGAATATACCAGAGCTTCTATACCCATTCATTTGTTGATGGGCATTTGGGTTATTTCCAGCTCTTGGCTATTTCAGACAAAGCCACAGTAAACATGGATGTGCATGTATCTGTGTGGATGGCAGTTATGGTTTCTTTAGGGTAAATTCCCAGTAGTGGAATTGCTGGGTCAAATGGTTGTTTCTATTTGTAACTTTCTGTGAAAGTGAAAGCGCCATACAGTCTTCTTCTTCTTTTTTTTGTATAAAATAGCTTTTATTCTGAATTATAACAAAATCCAGATTCCAAATAAGCAGTACTTAGAGGATCCAAAGATACTGTTTTTAAATTGTTTACGTAAATCTGAGTTAATTTTTTCATAACATCACTTATTTTACATTTATAAATTACATATATCACACTGTAACAACTACCAATTACAGTTAGATTAATATTTGATATAAATTTTATGTGTAGCCATACAGTCTTCTATAGTAGTTGCACCATTTTACACTCCCACCAGCAGTGAATAAGGGTTCCAGTTTCTCCACAACCTCACCAGCATTTGTTTGCTGTTCTGTTAAATTTTGCTATTCTTACTGGAGTGAGATGATATCTCATAGTTGTTTTGATTGCATCTCTCATAGAGCCTAGGGATTTTGGACATTTCTTCATGTGTTTGTTAGCCATCTGAATGTCATCTTTGGTGAAGTGTCTATTCATATCCTGTGTCCATTTTTCAATTGCATTATTTACTTTTATCTTGTGGTGATTTTTTTATGGTTATTCATCACAACCTTTGCAGCTAAAGAAGCTGGCTTAGGTTAGATGACTTGATTATCACACAGGTAATTCATAGCAGATCTGGGCCCAAGACTGCTGATTAGAAATGCAGTTCTTTCACTTCTAATTGAAAGTATAAACAGATGTCAGAACAAACAAGATAAGTTCTAAAAGAAATTTTTAAAAATTAGGTAATGCCTTACATGGTGCAAAAGATTAAAAATTATAAAAGAACATGCGATGAAAAATCCCCTTTCCAGTCTTGTTTTCCAGCCACCTAGTACTGCTTCCCACTGGGAAGCCATGTTACTAGCTTATAGATTTGAGAGAAAGAGAACTTCAGAGGCATGTACAATCACATGTATCTTCTTCCCACCCTCCTCCACCCTGTGGCACACAGTTTAGAATTCCATGGCCATTGTTCTGCCACCTTTCATTTAACTAGACGTGTTTGCATTTAGAGCTCTTCTCTTATTTTTATGACTTTATAAAATCTCTTTAAACAGATATACCATAAATTAATTAACCAACTCCTTATTGAAAGTTTTCATTTGGTAGACAGAATTTGCAAAGTATTTAAACAGATATTTATAGCTGTTATTGTTGTGTGCTGTTGAGTCGTAACCAACCCATAGCTGATCCTCCAGCCAGTTTTCAAAGACAGTAAATTGCATGGGAGGAGATTATCTATCCTTCTCCAAGGAGTAGCTGGTTGATTCAAACCCTGTGCCTTTGGGATTGCAATTCAACTTCTTACCAGTAGGCCACCAGTTGTTGTTATTCGGTACCATTGAGTACTACCCATAGCAGCCCTGTGAACAGCTAATCTAAATGTTCAATCCTGTGCCATCCTCACAATCTCTGACACACTCGAGCCCACTGCCTCAGTCACTGTATGAGTCCACCTGGGGGAGGTTCTTCCTCTCCTGTCTTGCCCCTCCATCTTTCCAAGCATGATGTCTCTCTCTAAGGAATAACCTCTCCTAGCGACATGCCTAAAGGCCACCAGATCTGCCTGATATTTATAGTGGATAAATTAATTTCAAAGCTTAATGTGCCTTGTTTGGTCTCTTTTAGGTTAGTAATAAAGCATTGGTGCTTCAGAAGTAAGAATCAGAGAATGCTCTGAGCCTCACCATTTCGCATGTGCATTTAACTTCTCAAGCATGGACAGGCTCTGTTGCTGTAGAACAGCAGGTTTAAGGCTTTGGTGGAATAGCTGTCAGGAGACCCTTCCAGAGGGTTGCACTCTTCTGGGTGCTGACCACTAGCCAGTTGGTTGATTTTTTCAGGCAGGCCATCATTCTCGCCCAGAAAGCTGCAGACCACTTCCAGGAGGCCCAGCCTTTCAGTCATATGGATCCAGAGGAGGCAGAGGAGACTAGGTTCTTGAATCTTTTGGGCTGTATCTTCAAAGGTAATGCCTTTTTCTGTAGTCAACAAATGAAAAATTTCAATGCATATTGATCATTTATTTTATGCCAGACACTGACTAACAGCATCCTGCTGATAGAGACCAGAGAGTAGTGGACAGCTCTGCAGTGGGAACAGCCCAAAAATTATATTCTCTAACTCCTAGATACAGCAGCTTCCACACAGGACAAAAACCCCCAGGGGTCTGCAGGAAACATGGGTCCAGAAGAGATTGTCTGTAAGGACAAACCCAGTGTGCCTGAGAAATCCAATGAGAAGGATGAACTGCTGAAGCAAGAGATGTTGGTGCAGTATCTGCACGATGCCTACAGCTTCTCTCTGAAGATTACACAGGCCATTGGCATTATCAGCAAGATGATGTATGAAAACACAACCACAGGTATGCCAGGGTCCCTTTCCATAAGAATTAGATCTTGGGGTTGGAAAAACTAGCTTTGTCCATATATATCAATGCCTAACTCCTCCTCTCAAAGGCAAGGATTCTTGGGGTTATTTTCTTTGTACAGTCCCATAGAACTTGGAAGCTTTAATGCATGTATTTCATGAAGAACGAACATTTTCAGGGAAAATAAACTTGAATGTGTCTACATTAATGGAAGTTATTTTGAAGTATTGTATTTTACTAAGCAAAAGAGTGGCATCTGTGTCTGTCTTCTCTGTGGCACAGGTGACTGTGTGGGTGACATTTGTCTGTCCTCAGTGGTACAGGTGACTCTCTGGGTGACATCTGTCTGTCCTCAGTGGTACAGGTGACTCTCTGGGTGACATCTGTGTGTCCTCAGTGGTGCAGGTGATTGTATGGGTGACATCTGTCCTCAGTGGTACAGGTGACTCTGTGGATGATATCTGTCTGTCCTCAGTGGTGCAGGTGACTCTCTTGATGACATCTGTCTGTCCGCAGTTGTACAGGTGATTGTGTGAATGACATCTATCCTCAGTGGTGCAGGTGACTGTGTGGGTGACATCTGTCAGTGGTGCAGGTGACTGTGTGGGTGACATCTGTCTGTCCTCTCAGTGGTGCAGGAGGTGATTGAGTTCTTCGTGATGGTGTATCAGTTCGGGGTCCCTCAGGCCCTGTTTGGAGTGCGCCGCATGCTGCCTCTCATCTGGTCTAAGGAGCCTGGTGTCAGAGAAGCCGTCCTCAATGCCTACCGCCAACTCTACCTCAACCCCAAAGGGGACTCGGCCAGGTATGTGGGTACCTCTGCTGACTTCTTTTTAATCTCCTTAAGGATGGAGAAGCATCCTGCTAGAGTTACGACTCCATAGGCAGTAGGTGAGTAATGGGGCCCAGAACAAGGCTAACGTGCAGTGATGTCCATCCTATGCTGTTATTTGACACTGTGGTGGGACAGCCTAATTACCTGTTTGCCAGGTTCACTTCATCCCTTGCTTCCTGGAATGCTGGTGGAAATGTTAATTACTCTCATCTCTTCTATTCCCTCAGAGCCAAGGCCCAGACTTTGATCCAGAATCTCTCTCTATTGCTAGTGGATGCTTCCACTGGGACTATTCAGTGTCTTGAGGAAATTGTAAGTCTCCTCACTTCTCTCTTTATTCATTCAACAAGTTTTACTGTGTATTCAGCTGTTTACTCAGCCCCATGGCAACTATTTATTTTAAAGGAAACAGTAGTCTAATTAGTAGTCAAAAAGCATGATATGTTTATAGAACAGTACAGCAAAGATCTTAAGTGTCAAATAACTGTTTGTGGTAGCAGAAGTAAGATAGCAGTGGCAACATTTACGTGACATTTGATAAATATTAATATTAGCTTGTTTAATCCTCGCAACAACCCAGTATTGTTTTCTGTTTTACAATGAGAAATCTAAGGGCTAGACAAGTTGCAAAACTTCTTAGATAGTGTCAAAGGTAGGATTTAAACTTAAGCAATAATCACTCCAGAAAACATTCTTTACTAAACAGTACAGAGTAAGAAAGAGAGCGGTAAGGTAGAATGGCCAAGGAAAATTTCCTGAGAGCATTAGTTCTTGCATTAGATCTTGAAGAATGAATAGGATTTAGAGAAAGAAGAGAGAGCATTTCAGATGGAAAGCTAAGAAAGAGCATGGCTCACAATAGCGAATGTGGAGAATTGTGTTCTGACTCTGGAAATGATAATAAGATTGGGCATGTTAATTATTAGAATTAAATTTGGAAGTCCCTGAATGTTTTCAGAAATCTAGGGCTTTACCCAGATGAGCCAGAGACCCCAGAATAACACTGAAAATTCTACATCTGAAGCATTTGGATTTTGGGGGGGAAAGGTGAGCCTAGTGCTGACCAGCAGCTTCCACTGGGAGGAACACTACTGCTGGCTGTGTTTTCCTCCTTACTGGGGAAAAGAAAGGGCCCAGTGGTAAACCACCAGCCTCGGAGTGCACAGACCAGCTCCTGGTCGGCTGCACCTGCTCTGGGCAGACATCCATTTTCAGAATGATGGGCAGAGGGCTGACCTGATGGAATAAATCCTTGGAGGCTGATCATCTGTAACAGACCAGATGGGTGGACACAGGAGACTAAGGACAAGGCAGTGGTGCAGGTGTGCAGTGACGTGGGACTAGACCCTGGGGATTTGAGGATAGTTATAAAATTGGATCTGATGGGAGACCATTCTTTTAAAAAAAATAAATAAAATGTTTCATTTTAATTGTGATTTTATGGAAGTTTGCAGAAAAGTTAGATTTTTATTCATTCATTGTTGCACATTTTCCTCCCTTCCCTATTTCACTTTCTTTTTTTTTTAATATTCATTCATTGTTGTACAATTTCCTCCCACCCTCAGTCCTTTCTGCATTATACTCTTATTCTGGACTTACTTAGAATGCCTACTCATATACTCGTTTTAAACAGTTTTCCTTCTTCATCTATTCCAATACAGTATTCATTATCTATCCACACTTTTCCTAGTCTCTTAACCCCCCATGTCAGTCCTATTTTATAAAAATTATGTTAATCAGTATTTGTCCTTTTGTGACTGAGATATTTCACTCAGCATAATGTCCTCCAGGGTTACCCATGTTGTATAATGTTTTTTAAAAGTTCATTGTTTTTCAGGGCTGCGTAGTATTCCATTGTGTGAATATACCATAGTTTTTCTGCCTATTTGTTTGTTGAGAGGCACTTGGGTTGCGTCCATCTCTTTGCCATTGTGAATAATGAAGCAATAAACATGGGTGTGCGTACATCTGTTTGGATGGCAGTTCTGGTTTCATTAGAGTATACTTCTAGTAGTGGAATTTCTGGGTCAAATGATATTTCTATTTCCAGCTTTTTGAAAAAACACCAAACTGCCTTCCATGTGGTTGTACCATTTTACATTCCCACCAGCAGTAAAAAAGAATTCCAATCTCTCCACAGCCTCACCAGCATTTGTTTGCTTCTCTGTTAAACTTTGCTATTGTTGTTGGACTGATGGCAGACCATTCTTCTTTTTTTTTTTAATGGCATACCATTTTTAAAGGAGGAACAGGCAGAATTAAAACAGCTCATTTGTAGACTGAAATTTTTAAGTGTATGTGACTTAAGTTGGTATCGCTGACAAAATGAAAGGGCAGAGGAGGATGACAAATTCATTTTAGACATCTGTGTTGTAACAGCAAGGAAACCTAGAAATAATCAAGGATATTGTCAGAACAGTAGATTCAGTTAGAACTCAAAATGATCAATCTCACTGTGTCATCTTGATAGCAATTGTTTTGAAGGCAAAGAAGTAGAGAAATGAGAAAAGTACCTCCTCCCTCTCCCACTTTGCATTTTTTGAAAAGAGCTTCATTTCTCTTTTCCCATTATTAAGTATTTCTTTTAACCCACTTCAGGTTCTCAGAATGCCCCTAAGAGATGGGCTAAAGATAGGGAGAATTACTGATTTTGATTGTGAATTTACAATTGGTTTGAGCCCTTTTTCTTTCCTATCCAGCTCTGTGAATTTGTGCAGAAGGATGAATTGAAACCAACAGTGACCCAGCTGCTGTGGGAGCGTGCCACCGAGAAGGTCCCCTGCTCTCGTTTGGAACGTTGTTCCTCTGTCATGCTTCTAGGAATGATGACACGGTGAGGCTCAGGTCCAGACAGGAAGTGGGACAGGAGAAGAAAGGGAGGTCTGGGAAGATCCCCTTTCCTTCACTAACAGTAGTCCAGTTCAGTTGAGGTCTATGTGAGTTGGCTGCCTACATGGGGGAAAGTACTAGCAACCCTGAAAAAATGGCATGTGGGGGGTGACGGCAGCATCTGACCTTCTCTACCTTCACAAGGGGCCAGGACCCCTGACTACAGCACTGACAGCCCAGTACTGATCTCGACAAAGTAAAGTCAGACATGTAACCCTAGCTGCCCCTTAGTGCTCCATATCCTCTATCCATTCTAACACCAGCTGCCTCGCCCCCAGCATTCACTGCTTCTCTACTGAATTCAGGAGTTTATTTCAGTGATGTCATAGAACGCACAATGATTATAGGCTTTATTAAGAGAGTTGTTGTTGATATTAGGTGCCATTGAGTTGACTACAACTCATAATGACCCTATATACACCAGATATGAACCTTGCCCTTTCCTGTGCCGTTCTTTTTTCATTTAAGTTTTTAAATTATTATTAATTTTAATGAAAATTTAGAGACGCTGGATTTCCATT